TCTTCTGAACGTATATCCATGACGAGCTGTTGGACTGCGAATGGAAAATAATCGATTAGGCTGAAAACCCGGTTTTTAGAGCAACGAATCGGTCATGAACGAATTTTTGGAATTCAAGCTTTTCGAAAGAATGAACGAAGAGGGTGAGACCGCTTAATCAAACAACCAGGAATACGCTGTCCTGTTTGTCGACCGAGACAACAGAGGGGCAGAAGCTTAGGCTTCATTAGCAACCGTAGATAGAGCAAGGGAACGTCCGGACGAGTGATACACACTTTGTTTTCGAAATTTGCAAATCCCCTAGATTCCTCCGTCGCCACAGCACCTGACAAAGAAGTGAATGGTCTTGTCCCTTCCTCTTGATTGTTAGGTTGTATCCGGACGCTGTGGTTTTGCGATCGGTGATTGATTTATCGGACGCCACATAGTGTCCGGATGACGACACGGACCACGAGTGCAGTTAAAAAAAAGTTGCCCGCTTTTGCAGAGAATCTCCGATGACCATTCGACAACTATCCAAGACTGCAACAAAGATGCTGGTAAGTGACGCGTGATTTGTTATCTCTTTTGGTTTCGCTTTGCGCGAAATAACCTAGCTAATACTCCAATAGCGCCGTCAAGCCCGTGAACGACGAGATTATCTGTATCGGAGAGCTTTGCTTCTCCGCGATGCCTCTATCGCCGAAAAGCGTGCGCAGTTGAAGGCTTCTCTGGCCTCCGGAAAGCCCTTGGACCCGTCCATCACAGACGATAAGAAGCTCCGCGAAGATTTCAAATATGACGAGTCATTGCCTGCGTCGGAACGAAAGAACAAGGAAGCTGATCTTTTGGACATCGATGATGAATATGCCCTAACGTCCGGACTGATCGACCCTCGTCCAATCGTTACCACCTCCCGGAATCCGTCCATACGTCTTGGTACATTTGCCAAAGAAGTTCGCTTGATGCTCCCTACATCAGTTCGATTGAACCGTGGAAATACTGTTCTTCCAGACTTAGTGTCCAGCGCAAATGGAGCGGCGATGACGGACATGATCCTCCTCCACGAACACCGTGGAAATCCCACAGCGATGACGATTTCGCATCTTCCTCACGGTCCAACCATCAGTTTCTCGCTACACAACGTCGTCCTTCGAGCCGATATCCCCAATGCTGCTCGCGGAACCGTCTCGGAGAGCTACCCACACTTGGTCTTCGAGGGATTTCAATCGAAATTGGGTCAGCGTGTTGTCCAAATCTTGAAACATATTTTCCCACCGCGCGACGCTGATAAAATCGGTAATCGTATCGTCAGCTTCGTAAATAAGGAAGATAGTATCGAGGTGCGGCATCACGTTTTCGTCAAAACTGGGTATAACCACGTTGAGTTGGCAGAAGTTGGGCCTCGGATGACTATGAGGCCGTTCGAAATCAGAGGCGGCTCACTGGACGTTTCAAGTGGCGATATTGAATGGAGTCTCACCCAGTACACGAGAACAAGCAGGAAGAAGGATTACCTCTAAGACTTTACCAGGGGTACGTGCTATGTACAAAATATGGCGCCAAAAGAAAATGTTCTGGTTCGGCGTATGATGGTGTTCAGGAGAGCTTGAGTCAATGTTTTCATAATTTCGTTCGGCTAGTTTATACCCTTTTTAAACTATTAGACACCTCTTACACATTTAATTCCGTACACTTCGCATTTCCCGTAGAAAAATACCTAGTGTATCTGTTATTGACCTTTTTTTTTTTTTTTTTTTTTTTTTTTTTTTTTTTTTT